ACCCGTCGACCAAGTGCTACCGTATCGCAGGCGGCAACGGCAAGTTGGACCCTGCCACGGGCGGATGCCCCCTTGTCAAGAGCCGCAAGGGTTAGACTCCAAACTGTGTTGTGTAACGTAAGTTTATAGTGTTGTGTTTCTTCATGCGACCTGTGACGTGGTTGCAGCGTGGAACTGTCAAGTCTTATCAAGGCTCCAACGTTGGAGTTTTCAAAGATAATCATACTTGGACGATATAGTTATACCTGTGACGTGGTTGCAGCACTAAATCTGGCTGGAGATTTCTTCATTGCCGCGTTGAATCATGTAAATTTATAATGCCAAGTGAAATTGATCATTTTTGTGCAATATTTAGAAAGCGGCATCTCGAATGTCCATGCCTTCTACTTACCAACGTCTCAACGTGATACATATCCGTGGCAAAAGACCCGGGAACCCAACGGTATTATAGTTGTTGTACCAACTAGTATGTTAATACCAAACCATTGGAGGAGCTAGCTAGCCAAGGCAGTGTCTCAGGATATACTTGCCTCGAAAGCCAAGTTGGTCGTTGATGAACGTGACCTTGATCCAGTCGGACTCGAGGACGTTGGTTTCAACGTCGCAGTCGCCTGCAGCAGCCGAAGGGTCGTGCACTGGAGATCCGCTGCTCTCGACATCTTTGATGATGAGAAGGCACAATTCCTTCCACACTTCCCACGTGAACACCTTGGTTTCAATCACGGCGATGATGAGGGCAGGGCATCCCGACACGTAAATGCCCACAGGGTTACCCACACGGAACAGCTCGCGATAGGCTGTGGCCTCTTGCGTGAACCTGTGCATGTCACTATTGATGCGTCTGAGCTCCTCAATCGAACGCTCGTCCATCGGCCCAGAGACCACGCGCATGCTGCCATCGTGCTCGCCTTCCACTTGCATCAAGCTCAATACTAGTAATAGTTTTTTCAAATGGTTTCCAAAAGAAGGTTGGTGAAAGCCATCATTTTTTTGGGTTAAATCGTCATGAAAGTGCTTATTTAATGCATACAGAATTACAGTGTACTAACGTTACTATAGTACAGAATTTGTCTGAAAATTCATTTTCATTTATTTACTTCGTCCAAATACAGTAAGGTCGACAATCGAACGACTGAGTTGATTGATAAACAGCGATTTTTGATTGGCCATGATTGCAAAATGCAAAGCAAAATCTAACTGTAAGTACGAAGTATACTTACTTCACCTCGTGCAGAACACGTATAGTAACGTTAAGGCAGTAGTACCCGCAAACGACTACTACGTAGTACTTACTACACAATGTTTCAGTCTGGCCAATGTTTTTGCGCAGAGATACTATGGTAGTATCCCCCAAATGCACAATATTCCTTGATATAAAATGGGCAATATTTCTTGTTATAGAATATTAATACATGTAGTTCTTCAATTCCATGTGGGTTCCGGATCTTGATCAAAGTATACTACAACCCTGCTATTCCAACAAGTAGAGTGCGCGGCTATATTTTAAATAGATTTTAAATACTGAAATGCATGAGAATCGAATGATTTTGTAGATTTTAAATGTCGAAGTAATAACCCTGTGTAGTTTTTTACTCGGTATCAATAACTGTGGAAATCAAGCCAGAGAGGGCCGGCCTATTCTCACATCGTTGTCGTCAGCAGCAGCATCATGTCCCGCTTCCTGTCCGAGCCGATCACGACCAAGCACTCGCATCAACTCACAGCGCCCAAGCTGAATCTGAACATCGGATACAGCTCCATGCAAGGGTGGCGTGACACCATGGAAGACGCGGATGTGGTGGAGATTGACATCCCCGGTAACGTCAACGGCGCGTGCTTTGCCATCTTCGACGGACACGGAGGCGACCACGTCGCCAAGGCAGTGTACGAGCTACTCTACCAGGGTAGATAGCTGAGGACCTCTGTCTTACGACATGTATAACATAGGGCCAAGGAAATCATTCAGAACATTGCCGACACGGACGACTTCAAGCGCTTCGACGGCACCGACCACCGCGTGATGGTGACAGCGTTGAGCCAAGGGTTCCTCAAGACCGACGAATCGATCCGCAACAACGAAGCCGTCGGCGGCAACGCGGACGAAGTTGGCGCCACGGGTCTCCTCGTGATTGTCACGGAAAAGCACATCTTCTCGGCCAACATCGGTACGTCCATGTCCACATGTGTACGTTGCTTACGCATACCATATATATGTTGATCCAGGGGACTCTCGATGCATCTTGAGCAAGAGCCAGAACCAATCGCCGATCCAGATGTCCCTCGACCACAAACCCGACCACGAAACCGAGAAGCTTCGCATCGTCGCGGCCGGCGGCACCGTGTTCCGCGGGCGCGTGTGCGGCGGCGTGGCCGTGAGCCGCAGCTTCGGGGACTACTGGTTCAAGCGCAACGAAGAAGGCAAGCCGGACAAGAAGCCGTGGGAGCATCTCGTGATCGCCGAGCCCTGCGTGAACGTCCAGCCGCGCGACCTGATCAAGGACGAGTTCCTCGTGTTATGCTGCGACGGCATCTACGATGTCATGTCGAACGAGCAGGTCCAGCGTTTTGTGCGCGACCGATTCAAAGCAGGCAAGAGCCCCAAGGAAGTGAGCGAGCTACTCATGGACGAGTGCCTGAACAAGGGCAGCCGCGACAACATGAGTGTCATCATCGTCGTGTTTAATGCCAAGAAGAAATAATAACCCCAATCTACTCTAGATTGCTCGTGCAATATATATATATATATTATATATATAGATAGATACATGGTAACGTTATATTATGTGGGGGTGTTGTTTTTGCCTATTTGTAAAAACACCCTCCAAGTCACAGCAGGAATGTAGTTCAAATGTGTGACGTTCCTGTGACAATGTTCAACCTGGGATACCGTTGGCAAGGATGCTATATGGCGAACAAGAAAAAGCAGGTACATAATATATATGGACACAACCCGCTGCACGAGGGTACTACAGAGTCTACTAGTACTACTAGCTCAAAACGGCATGAGATACAGTGCTGTACTGTGATGAAGTGTTGTCGGCTACTATGCAAGAGCTCTCTGGAAAAGTCGTTTGAGTACGTTAATGGCCATACTCCATACTATGAATAGTAGTACTAGTACTTACAAGTGCATCTCCCTTGTAATACTACTAGTATGTCGGCGGCACCTACGATATCTCTTTGAGTTTGCCCAAGCCAAATATTAATAATACTATTAATAGTATGCGACGCTGTCTTATAGGGGCGACGCGCCGATATCGTCGTCATCGTCATATAGCGCATCGATAGCTGCTTTAACGTCCGCATGGCAATCGTTCGGACTAAATACTAATGCATGGTTCAAGTGCTGCAATGCACGGTCCACACGGCCCTACTAACTCATGAGCAAAAACACTAGTAACTACTAGTATATGTCACTACGATGTGAGATACAATAGTGACACGAACATGAGACACGGTTCACGTACGAGCTTGGTGTAGACCGAACCTAGGGTAAAGTGCACCGTGTAGTCTTTGGGGGCGGCCGCTTCCACTCGGTGGAGTTCGACCAACGCCTACAGTAGCAGCAACCAGTTCAATCATCTGCGACATCGTACTAGTACTACTACTAGTACTACTAAGTGATACATTCCAGAGACTAGTGTACCTCGTCGAGGCGGCCGTGCGCGACGAAAATGTCAGCTTTGTGATACCGGGCCACGAGGTTGGTCGCGTTCAAGGCGAGTGCCGTGTCGAGAGCTGCTAATGCGTCGTCGTCTTTGGTTAACGCATGCAGCACCTACAACGATCAAATGTATCACTGTATCGCACATATTCCACTGTATCACAGCATGCACGACCAATATATATAATATATATATATATATATATATACCACGCCTCGGAAACAATGCAGGAGCGAGCTGTGGGGGTTGATGGCAACGGCGCGACCAAAATGGTAGTCGGCGACCGCGAGCTTTTCCTGCTTAAAGTAGATCGTCCCGAGACCGCACCAGGCATTGTAATGGCGCGGGTCCACGCGAAGAGCTTGGCGGAAGCATGCCACCGCCTTGTCAAAGTCTTCATTAGACACGTACTCGTGGCCGGCCAGCGTGTACGCGTATGGGAACGTCGGGTCCACTTGAATGGCCTACAAAAAAGCAGATATAGTGTGGAAATTCAGGCTTTTTTGATATATATATATATATTCAATGCATCGACAATTATATACTATTATATACATTCATATCACATACGTAGGTGATCGACTGTAGGACTAGTAGTACCCACCCCCACATCCTCTACTAATACTACATAGTACATGGAATGATGATTTTCTAGTAGGAGTAGTCCCCATTCATTTCTCTATGCACATTGACGGAAAATAGTGTGTGTAGAAATAGTACTACTAGTAGTATTAGTACCCGTGTAAAAAAGTCAAGAGCGACGTCGTGCTCCTTCTGAAGGCTAAAGCAGTTGCCGGCGACACACCATGCTTCGGCCGATGTCTTGTGGCTCGTGACTTGCTGGGCCAAGTAGGACAAGTCGACTTCTTTCTTCAAGTGCCACAGCGTCGTCGAGTAGATGCTGACGCCGTCGAGGCGGTCGGGACTGAGGGCTCGCATGCGTTCAAACGCCATCGCAGCCTACAGATGTCAATATACATGATCGCATATGGGAGTCAGTCGACTGTAAAGTGGGCGTACAGATATATATATCGACATGTACGTTGTGGCAGACCTGTGGATATTGCGCGAGTTCAAAGTACGCGCGGCCCATTTGGTGCTGGACCCATGATGTTTGTATGTGATGTGGTGGCAGCGACTGCAGCCCAGTGAGCGCGTCAGCACATTGGTACTATACAAGGCAACGGGAGGATACGATGGATAGATGGGGAGGGTTTGTACGAGGCATATGTGTTGGTATGCAGCGCCGCATAAGCTCAGTAGACGCAGCACATCCCCCTATATACTTGCCACATGTGTCAAAGGATAGGAAGTGGATACTGCGACTACCACCACCTCTCCGCGGGATAGAGGATGTTGTGAAGACGTGGTGTCGCCTTCTAGCTTGGTGTTTGACTAGATATATTCTGCGATGAGAGGATGGTGGACGGTAGATCCTCATGGTGGCGGACCTGGTGGGATGCTCCTTGCTCTGTGATGGTTCGGCTCAGCGCTTTCTTGCCTCGGGCATGGCTCGTGTTGGTAGATGCTTGAACTCGAGAATGAATGCGGCGGGAAACCGAAGGCGGCGGCGGCGGCGGTGGAATGTTGTTTTCATCCAAGTGGACTACGTAGAGTGCCAAGAAGATGGATGGCTGTCCTGATGATACGTGGCGTACCTTTGCTTGGGTTCGTGGATACCCCTCCAAAGAACAACGAAGCGGACGCTTGGCTTCCCAACTCGCAAAGGTTCTCAAACGATGACCAGAGGAACGGGTCGAGCTTTAAGCTACAGATGGCGTTGCAGTCGTCGCCAAGAGTTATGTGGATGGAATAAGGAAGAACGAACGATGCGGGGAAGGAGGCATACATAAACAATGCATGAGAAACGTACCTTTCCGTGAAACATTCAATGGCTTGGTCGGTGCGATGCAGACGCCGGTGGACGCGGCCAAGGAGGTAGAGTCCAGCAGCACCGTTTGGGACGTTCTTCGTAGCACCTTCACCAGTCGAGCGCCGTGTCGACATGGAAGGTATCAATGCGTTCTCGGCGTCCGAGATACGATCTGCTTCGAAGCAACAGAGTGCCAAGAGGTATCTGTTGTGTGCGGACAGGATGCCTTGATTTGAAGTCATGTGTCGTTCCAGCAGCGAAATGGCGCGATGGCCGGCCCCAGACCGGTAATACGCGTCGGCCAACAAACCAAGGTTGTCCTCGGAAGCGTTCTCTGCCACTAGTCGCTCCGCGAGGAACACTGCGGTTGCATGAACATTCTGGTCCAGGTACCGCTTCACCGCCAACGTCAAGCATTGCTCCATCGTCATGAGGTTTTGCTGTCCTGTGCAATCCACAACGAACGGATTGGATTGGCTGAATGTTCGAACCCCCAGTGCCGGATAAACCTCTATAATATGAATTCCTCAGCAACAGTATTATATTACACAGTACGTTCATGAACGACAGAGCAGCAAGGAACGCTGGCGCGCCTGGCAGCGGCGGAGTGCCGCAACGAGGCAACTTCAGTCGTACGTGCTTCAACTAGGCATGCGGATGGAACCTTTAGTGATGGATGTAGTGGAGGCAGACATATTGAGTAAGCTGCGCGACGTCCCTGTCAAGATCGTCGCGGCCGACACGAACGCCGGTAGGTTGTTCAGTTGACATACTTCGTCTCTCCATGTCTGATCGAAAATGCTGCCGTCGTAGAACTGTTGCATGACGTGCTTGCGTCCTTGCGCCAGAAAGCCCTCGACTTGCAGAACGACAAGTGGATGTACAAAGAGCTTTCATTCCTTTGACGGTACCAACCCTTGTCTTGTCCAGGAACCTTACCGAATACTAACATGACATGCTACATCGACGATAGTTGCCATTGGGGTCTGTAGCAAAGGTGTTAATCACAAGGGACGCCCGATGCGATTTATAGTTAGGACTAATAACTGGGTATTAATAGTACTATTATTATTAATACTATTATTATTAATAGCGTAAAAGTCCAATTTAAGGTGCTCGATCCATATTAAGGTTCACGCGAATTAGCCAATCAATTCCTATAAAGGCAATTTTTAACCTAACCGCCTAAAAAATATGCAAATATTAATAGGTACTACCTCTGTCCGACTTCAATTGTCGTGATTCATATTTCCGGTATCCGGTTTTGATTGTCGTGATTTCACACTATTGGTTAAAATTGAAACTCAAACAATTGTATTGGTCAAAATTATCCTTGGATTACAAGCCTGCAAGCCGAGCAGCAAGGTACATGTCAGCAGAACATGTCAACGACTCTTCGAGCTCACCGCGCCGACGCTTCGCTTCTTTGCCTAGGTGCTTCAGCTTGTACTTGTTGCTTCCA